TAAAGCGACGTATGACGGAATCGTATACTGAAACGTCGAAATGTTTAACGGGACACCTAAAATGATAATAAAAACGGGAAAGCTATCAACTAACCTTTTTTTGTTTGTTTCTTTGTCTATTATCCTGATCTGAAAGATGAAGAGACGGGTTGATCTCAATCTTCGTTTGACCACTTCAAGTCATACAGCAGTCCACCAGCTTGTTTTTCCTCGCAGTATCTACGTTGACTACAACTAGTTTGCTCTGGCTACAAGAGGCCTTTGTGGTCACCATGGCAACAACCAACGCTTGGTTATATGCCTGGAGACAGAAGTGCACGTGACAAAATGGCAGACAGGTAACTTCCACCTGTAATGCCTAGCAGAAGGTGTGACAAATTCAGAACCTCATAACATGCCTCACTAGTGGTGGGCAAAAAGGGGCGGGGGGATTAGGGGGGCGTGGGGGGGGGGGGAAGGGAGGAGGCTATGAATGTATGGTGGGGACCTGCCGATAAGATACATGGTTGTTTTGGTGGGGCGTTGTTGCTTTTTCCAAATACGAGAGTATAAAGCAAAAACATCGGATCTGTGTTTGAATGCCATCCAAAAGTGAGAAACATTTACTTTCACTTCGGAATCGTCATGTTTCCCTAATCAGTTTGGAAAGTTAACAACAGTGACAACGATATCGACAGTAACAATCTTTATTCATTTCTGAGGAAGAAAATTGTCTTGATCGTTTACAGTGGCAGTGGGTATTGCAATTGCCAGGTGCACTGACACATGTAGACAATAAAAAAAGGACATTTAATTCATGTATTTCTTAATCATTACATCCACCAATTTCACGCACATTATAAAAATATTCGATTTCTGATAAGAACATATTTACAGATGAGACAATCTTGCATTTTATACTCACAAATTGTGGATCAGCTGACTTGGAAAGATGTGAAATGTGCTTGTCTATTATTTTTTCTACTGTTTTCCCCCTTTTTTAGGGAGGGGGGGGGGTATCCGTTGTTGTTTTTTTCAGTTATATCACTGTTTATGACAACACGCATGTTCAGTACAAACACATAACAAGATGAATCAC